GAGTATGAGTACTCTGGAATTGTAAAAGTATAAAATGCTTGTCCAGGTAGAAAACAAACTAAGAAATCTTTTCTAAGCACAGTAACACTTGGAAAATTATTTTTTACGAAAATTTCCTACGAGAATTGGTGTTACATGAGGGCCAGCTTAATGCTGGGTGCGTAATTTCCGATGATGTGTTTCTTTGACGTTATGGTCAACGTAGGCATATTTGTTGGCTTTCATATTGCAACAAATGTGGCTGATTAAAGCAAAAGCAACTTTTTCTGATTTTATTGATAGAGTCATCACAGAAATAAGAATGCTCATAAAATAATATGTTGACAGACCAGTTGGTGGTTGTTAAATTTACACTAAACTGACAGTTAAAGTTGTAAGCATACCATTTTTTGCATATTTGAGAGAAAATTTCGTCCGTCAAATTTATATACTCGTTTTCCTGACGGTGGAATCCGCTGACTTTTAGACTGTCCTTGAGTTGTCAGCAAACACTTTATAATTATCTGCGCCTTCCGTCGTTTGCCCATAATGATAGGTTCTTTGTTCTCTGTTTATAAAAAAAGACTTAAAAGTAAAGTATTTCTGGGAAGCCTGTACAAAAGTATTGAATCATTTGGCGTTCATTTTTATAAAGACGGCTATTTAGGTCATATTTTAATACTCACCAGAGCACAAAACGTCTTTTCCAAGAACCGAAAATTCTCAACAAAAGTCAACGTCATTTATCTACAAGATTCGCTCCAATAAACCACCTATTTAAAAAGAACTTCAGTATGGTACCTTGCTATTGGTTGTCCGCATAATTTATCTTTTGCCACAGCAAAGTTCAGTGAAAAAATAGGACTTTGGGTTATTTTTTTACTTTTCTGGAGAATATTCGTATCTTTGTCAGAACAACGAGAGCTCTAACTTTTTTATTATATTACAGTTATTTGCGATATTACTGCCTACTGTTAGGTCCTTTAAACGATTGCGAACTTACGGAATGGTAGCTATGAGTTTTTGCGCGTTTTTATAAATTACTTATCAGCAGAGAGTAGACCGCACCAAAAATATCTTTCCCTGTGCCAAAACTTTGAAATAACCCTTCGGTTATGTTCATTTTGGCGGTTACTCATAATGTTTTGTCAAATGTCGGGACAATCTTAGCACGACTAAACAAACGATTGCCTGTAGGTGTTATGACTGAAGTTATGGACGCGAACCCACGTATATTTGCAGAGCCGAGTTTTGAAAATCGGTCTTTGTCGGTATTACCTTTCCAACATATATCACTAGTCGCCGTGCGACTGCCTGCGAGGGTTTAAGTATGAGCCCCAAGGCACAACGGAACGAGCATGTTCCGTAACCTGATCGGTGAGCGCCCACTATCATAATCGATAAAATGTCTGGTTTTCTACAAATAACCCTTGATTATGCAACCTTTTTCTTACGAAATTCCTCGGGCAAAAAGTACGTTCCGAGTGCAGTAAGTCTTACGTGGTTAAACTGCCGAAGTCAATTTACTCTCCCCGATAATTAAAGCAAGGCCAAATGCACAAGCTAAGTGTAGGACGCCTAATCACGCAGCAAATTGCCTAAATATAGGGTAACGTGGGTTTCTGCTCAAATTCGGCCATCTGACTGGCCCAAGATTCTCACGCACTGGAAGTCAAAGCGACGCTCTGGCGGGAAGGCGTGGGCGGCTAAAGAGGAGAGGTTATGCTTTCGTCCCACAACCAGGTCCTGCTTGAGCAATCTCCTGCGAACCTGATTGCCGGTCTCACCAACGTAATTAACTTGATCGAATTTGCAGTATATTCGGGTTAATGACACCAGATTCCTGAATGATGACAATTAGGGTCTGTTGGATGCATAATTTGCAGTCGGATTGTCGCTTAAGGTCGGTGAGCAACGCCAATGCCAATAACAAAAATGAGTCGGTTGCAACGATCTCGCCACATCCCAAATGCTAACATTCGTTATGGTGCGCGTTTCCGATAACGCCTGCCGGATTTCCATCTAACCACCGTGTTCATCAAACGCATCTACCGCATGGTCCCTTTTTAGAGGCATGCGTCGCACCCGACAGTTCGACCGTCGATTTCGACGATGTCCACCGTGTGCCCCACAGACTGCATTGCGGGAGCAGGGACGTTGACTTACGCAGGGGTTTATAGTGCCAGTAGACTTGCGTAGCATCTACCTACACTCTCTCCTCCTCCCCCGCCTGGGCCCGGTGTCAAGACAGAATCAAGGAGACCGGAGACGAGGGAGGCCGCAGGTGGATGGCTCGGACGGATCCTCACCTTGGCGTTCCACCACACCTCCTGGTCCACACAACAAAGGACCAAGATTTTGACCACAATACAATGGGGTGGTGACAGTGGTCCAGTTGTGCGACGAATGCCGACAACAGGGTCCGCCAGCGCACCCCGCAAATGTTGGCATTTCTTATTGCGCACAGATAACGCCTGCCAGAGTCCGATGTGGCCCCCGTGTTGGTCCAGCGCATCTAACACGTGGCCCGTTCTGAGGGCACCCAAAAGTTAGGTGACCTACTGATCCCTGCCCATATATCGGCTGTGCTAGTGGTTTGATCTGGACTGACGGTTGTGCGTCATGCTCACATGCTTGCACGCGTTATCATGGTGGCCGAACAGTAATCGAAAACAAAAACACCTCGTCTGCTCTGAAATCGACTTGTCTGTCGACGTAATCCACGCCAAATTAGGCATGCAATTCGCATTGTTTTCAAAAACACATGGACTCAAAAGTTAGGTGACGTGTCGAAAGCAGTGTGGTCTACAAGGCAAAGATTCCCAATCACAAGTCAGGGAATACGGATTGAGTTGGACAATCTTTGCTGTTTTGGAAGTGCGTACGCAAAGGCTCTGTAGGCAGTTGCCGCGAGCGCGCTCTTCGGGCAAGTTGTTGTTTGAGTCCGCCTTCGAGGTGCTGAGACCCAGCGCATGTATGCGCCCTTCTTTGTCTCCGCGTCCGCAAGCCAATCAGAGGGGAGGCAGCGTTGATTGGCGTGGAGTGCTCACGAGGCCAGTGACAAGCCTCACGTGTCCCAGCAGCGTATCGAAAAGGAGTATGGAGAGGGGCAGAAAGGCAGCGTGGCAAAGACGTAGGGTAAGGAGACGCGAACTGCCACAGTACCCCCCGGGCTGAACCGGAGGTGGCGCGTAGCGACGCCGAAGGAATTGTTGGTGTCATAAAAACATGAGTAACCAAACGGTCAGGTAAGTGAACATGGCGTCCACTACGGGTGATTACAGGGGGTACAGGGGTAGAGTAAGTATGAAGCGCGGTTACAGTGTTGTTGGCTGATGAAGAGGTAGTTGCTGTAAGGGGTTGCGAACATTGGGGCAAAAGAAGTATGCTGGACGGCGTGATAGAGGGTCGGGGAGGTGGAGCAGGGTGTTTGGGACAACAGGGCTCTTCCGGAGGAGTGTCCAGCACGACAGCTTTGAGACGGTCCACGCCCGCGACCTCCTCGCGTGTTCCGCATCGGATGCGGAAGTTCTTCATCCCACCACTCGGAAGGAGCCGTCGTAGATGGTTCCAGGGGCCGGCAGACTTGAACACATCGGAGATTGACGTGAGAGCATGTCGCCAAGTCTTTCTCGTGGTAAGACTCGGAGACGGACGGCCGGGGAACTTAAAAGTTAGGTGACTCACTGATCCCCGCCCATATATCGGCTGTGCTAGTGGTTTGATCCGGACTGACGGTTGTGCGTCATGCCCGCATGCTTGCACGCGCATTCATGGTGGCCGAACTGTAATCGGAAACAAAAAAACCTCGTCTGCTCTGAAGTCGACTTGTCTGTCGACGCAATCCACGCGAGATTAGGCATGAAAGTCACATTGTTTTCAAAAACACGTCGTCGACTTTAGAAAAAGTACGGTGACGTGGCGACGAGACGTCAACCTGTCCCGAGTGATTGGCTGAATTTCATAAGCGCGCCCGCAGCCCACGAGGGTGGCAACAAGTCGGCTAGCAAACAATAATTAGGATTCATATTGACCCAACTGTGAAAAATTCACCGTCTCAGTGGGATTCGAACGGACGACAGTAAGGGGAAAGCTTTATTTCAGCCAACGCTCTTACCACTTGAGCTAGGAGGCTCCGCCGGACGACGCGAGTTTAATCACATTTGGGTCAAGGTATCTGCCCAACCTACTGCAGCGTCTGGAATCCACCAAATCTGCCACATGAAGCTGACTGCCCAAGTAGGATTTCGTAAGTAATCCACCCAGAATTCACCAGATAACCACCAGGCTCACGTAATTTAGAGAGGGTAGGCTGTACTAAAACCTTCTCCCTACTGCTTGGGTTCGAATCCCACCGAGGCGCCGAGTTTTTCACAGATAAGTCAATATGACTTATTCAAAATCCGCCAAAATATCTATGAATAATCCGGATGATTTTGTGGACAAGAACGGCGTTTCCGGATTTTTGATCGTCATCAGCCAGTAGTGCCTCGACACTAAAATCGACTAATCCCACACTTGTGGCAGTCGCCTCAGTGGTCTGGTATGCATAGAAAGGTGCCCCCCCTACGGGCCACGCAGTAGATGCGCTGGACCAACACGGAGGCCAGATCAAATTCTGCCAAGCGTTATTAGAATGCGTGCGATAACAAATGCCGACATTTCGGGGTGCGATTATAGGCCCGACTGCCGGCATATGTTGCGCACAATACGATCCCTCGTATCACCCCGGTATTGTTGTTGTTGGTCCAATCACCTGGTTATCCGCTGTGTGGAGCAGAGGGTGTGGAGTGGGGCGCCAAGGTGCGGACTCGACCCTGCTCTTGCCCGCCTCCAGTATTATTGTCTCCGGGCCGGGCTCAGGTGGGGGAGGAGAGAGTGCGTTACATGCAGCGCAAGTCTGTCGGCACTATAAACTCCGCGCAAGTCACCGTCCCTGCTCCCACCACCTGCTGTGGGGCATACGAAATCGATGGTGTGTGTGTGTGTGCACGCGCGGTAATGTGATCTGCGCTGGCCGGATGGATCTTCGCGTCGACATCGTCGAGACGAGGCTCTGCCTTGACCTTCGCAGGAGGCCACCAGGTAAGTGAATTTGCTTTGTTTCTTCCCTTTGTCTGTTGAAGTTCCGTATTGTATGCTGCTCTTGTTGCATGCCCTCTAAATGTTAGTCTGTCTGATAACATCTAGATGAAACTCTTGATGCCTGCTGTGACTGTCTGTCTGCTAATAGCTAGGTGTTACTGTGCTTGATCTTGAAGTATGCCCTCTCAATTCTGACTCTGACTTATAACTGTGTTTGCTTGCCCACTCTAGCTAGCACTAAGTCCCATAGCGTTCTGATGTGTGTATCCTCTCAACAACATCATCACCATCACCACCAAGGTCCCAGGCTAATTCGGGTCGTTCTCTCACTAACAAAACGTCGTGGCCCATAGTGGAGTCCGGCAGCCGTCTGGGATAACCGGGCAGCCCTATTCAGGGATGCGTTGCCTGCCCTCGCGAGGGGAGGGGCTAGAAAAGGTGGCCTAAACATTGCTGGGAACCACGCTGCCTGCAGGCTGGCCGTGACCGCAGACAAAAAACACACGGTTGAAACAGCTAAAATCGAAACAACACCAACAACAACAATCACTCTCGTCCTCTTCCAGCCTATTCTTCTTCTTCTTCTTCTTCTTCTTCTTCTTCTTCTTCTTCTTCTTATCCCCCCTACTTTTCGTCGCTGCAGTCGCCAGACTGGCAGAGTGAGCCCGCTCGCGTATCGACAATCACCGTTCACGAACTCCTCTTCGCCGACGACTGCGCCCTGAACACCACCTCGGAAGAGGAGATGCAACTCAGCATGAACCTCTTCTCCGCCGCCTGCGAGAACTTTGGTCTGGTCATTAACACGCAGAAGACGGTGGTGATGCACCAACCGCCACCCCACTCAGCCACAGCCCGCAACGCATCGCCGCAAATCAGCGTGAACGGAACCCAACTGCAGGTGGTGGAGAACTTCCCGTACTTGGGCAGTACCCTCTCCCGCAACACCAAGATCGACGACGAAGTCGCCAACAGGATCTCGAAAGCCAGCCAAGCCTTCGGCCGCCTCCAAAGCACAGTTTGGAATCGTCACGGTCTTCAACTAGCACAAAGCTGAAGATGTACAAGGCTGTCATCCTGCCGACGCTACTGTATGGAGCGGAGACCTGGACGGTGTACACGAGGCAGGCAAGCCGCCTGAACCACTTCCACCTCGGTTGCCTTCGTCGCATCCTGGGGCTGAACTGGCAGGATCGCATTTCTGACGCTGATGTGCTGGTACAAACGGAATGCTCAGCATCTACTCCATGATAAGACAAATGAAGCTGTGCTGGAGCGCCACGTGGTGCGCATGGACGACGAGCAACTACCCAAACGACTCTTCTACGGAGACGTCGCGACTGGTTCCGGCCGCCAAGGAGGCCAAATTCGCCGTTACAAGGATACTATGAAGTCCTCCCTGAAGCGTCTACAAATCAACCAGACCAACTGAAAAGAGCTCGCGCACGATCAACCGTCCTGGAAGAGGGCAGTGAAGACAGGCGCTGCGATCTACGAAGCCAACCGCATCGTCGCCGCCAAAGTGAAACTCGAAGCCCGCAAATCCCAACTGCATCCAGTACACAACGCCGCCGCACAACGGCTTCCAACGTGTCCTCGATGTCAACGGACATTCCGGGCTCGAATCGGCCTTTTCGGACATCTTCGGATCAACTGTGCCTCTCGAACTGCACCAACCATCGCCCCCCCCCACACCCGCCTCTTCCCCGTCCTCTCTGTCACCAACGAACTCTGACAATTATTCTAAACCAT